GTTTCTCTTCGGGATCAGCCAATTTCACTCCAAGCAAAAAAATTAAGTTTGAGGATTAAAAAGAAGTTTTTTGTAATAAATTTTGCAAAGGGATTTTTTGTCGTTTTGTTTGTACTTCTTGTGCTGGTAATACAGATATTACCAGTTCGCTTTTGAAGAACCTCATAAAGTAAAACGTCATATTTTAAGGATTATACACTTCATAAGAAACTATGGAAGCGTAATTTTTTGTAGATCCGTTTCGTTTATTGTAATAATGGCGTATTCGACATGTGACTCTGTAGTTGGTGGTCTATGCGTTCATAGCTACCTATACTTTTGTTTTAACTATTTTTCATTGCGATCTCTTGTTACGAAGATTCAATGAGTTCTTATTGTTTTTGCCTTTCTCATAGTTTTCCAGAAACTTCTGCATTGGATGTTGTTGGCAGTGTCACACACAGTATAAACTAACTGTTATTTGTGCGAGTTTAACCGCAAAAAAATTACAGTTCCTATTTTTCACAGTGCGGTGATGGTTGACAGAAGAGGCTATGAAATGTTCTTCGGAGCGCCACATTTTTATGGATAGTTACCAAAAATTTTCTACAGGTTTCAGATGACTTAAGCGGTTTGAGTCGTAAGAGTACGCTTGAGAAAGTGAAAAGAGACGGAGGGGTTTTGTGACTCGACTGTTGCCTGAATCTTTTCTTAGGTTGCAAGTGTAGCACTTTGGTAGTCTTCTAACATTGAATTTTAAGCGTAGCACTTTTGCCGGAGAGCCTGAAAAAACAGTTAATGACTTATGGTCTATGCGATTAACGGTAACAAATTGGTGTTTAGACGTGTCCGCTCCGCTAAGAGGTCTTATACAGAGATTAAAGCAAGATAACACGTAGGCCAGATAACTATTTACGTTTTAAGTGATCCTGCTTTTTGATTTAAGGGCAATCAGTTTTATTGCTGCAGAAGTCCTTCGGAAAATTAGCAGGTGCTAATGAGCAATAATTACAGACGAAAACCGCTGTTACTTGCGGAGTTTGTTTGAATAGCATGATCTTGGCACGAATTCAGAGTGAGTTCATGAAATTGGTCTTTGATTCGGCCGTTATATTGCCGGCAGGGAATGACAGTTTCGTGGCCTTAATTACTGGACTCGTTTCTTTCGATTAATCCAAAATCGAATGAGCTGTCGTCTGGTAGAGCTTAAATGGTGGCAGTAAAATCCTGATCTGTTCTTTCGTCTATGCAGCATGTGCAGATATTCGTGCCTGTTTTTCTTTTTTTCTTTTTTTGTCGGTAATTGAAGCAATTAGGACTGGGTGTTGGAGTTTAGTTTGGTGCATTGATTCGAATCTCTTATTGAGTCACAGACCATATTTAGAATCCTGTTTCATGTTTCGAGATAAGTCGTGCATTAGTTGAAACATTTAAGCTGTTTACTCTTGAGCTTTTATTTTAAGGTTAAAAATGTTTGCACCTGGAGATCTTTGGTTGGTCTCAGCCCCAGGTGAAAAAACTCCTCAAGATACGTGGGACAAATTGAATCGTGCAACTGGCAATTTATCGAATAATTATAAGTTCAACATTCCTGATTTGAAGGTTTAAGCTAGACCCAAGCCTCATTTTGTAACACCACTTCTTTTATCAATTACCTTTCTGAACTTTAGGTCTTGATCTAAAAAGCTGTTGAAAATTATTATCGGTTTGATCTTTGATTGAATACTTTTCTGTTTTAGGTAGGGACTTTAGACCAGCTAGTAGGATTGTCAGATGATCTTGCAAAGCTTGATACGACAGCTGAACAGTAAGTGGTGTTTTTTGTTTTTAAAATTTTTTTTCTGTTTCAATACTTTGTATAATCCTTGTTATTTTAGAGTTACGCATAAATTGGCAAATTACTTTGGTGATGTTTTGGAAGACGAGAGGGACAAACTCGCAGATAATTTGATCGTTAATGGAAGTGGGTTTTTTAATGGTATCAACAGCTGTTATCTTAGTGCTTCATAATTGCCACGCTTTTTTTAGAAGATATAAAAACGTATGTAACCAAGTTCCAGTGGGAAGGAGCAAAGTATCCATTAAAACAGTCTTTGAAGGTTCTTAGCGAGATTATTGGGAAGGTTTTAGTTTTATAATGTTTATTTCCCTTTCTTAGAGTTTTTGTCGGATTTTAAAAAAGCTTTCTTTATCGTTTTTGGTTGGCATTACGCTGTAATGTGTAGTATTTCAGCAAATAACGCAAATCGACAACGACTTGAAGACAAAAGCTACAGCTTATAATAATTTGAAAAATAGTTTAGCATCTATTGATCGTAAGGCCACGTTAGTTCTTATTTTTATTTTTTGATTCATTTTTTATTTTAATCAGGAACTTAATGTTAAGAGTGGCGGGGAATTGTGGCTAGCACATGACAACAGAGTTCAAGTATCCATTTATTTGGAGCACTCAACTTTTAGAGGTAGCTTGATAACGAAGGACCTTTCTGATATTGTCAAGGCTGACGACTTCGTCTTAAATTCAGAGTACCTACAAACGCTTATGGTCGTGGTACCAAAGTAATAGGTTTACTAAATTACTGTTGACGCACAAATCTCATTTATTTTTTTTCTTTTTTTCCAGGCATTTTTCATGCACAGTATGATTTTTTTAATAGGCAGTTGGAGAAGGAATGGCGTGCCAAGTATCAGACTCTGACAGACATGATAGTTCCTGGTTCGTCCAGGCTCATAACAACCGAGGGTGAACATATGCTTTTTTCGGTCACTTTATTCAAAAAGGTGATTGATGAATTCAAAAATCACTGCCGCGAAAACAAGTTTGTATTTTATTATTGGACTTTATTGTTAGGATTCTGAAAGGAATTTTTTCCGGGGTTTCAATGCGTGCTTAGTCTTTCTGTTTGCTTATATATATATATATATATATATATATATATA